GTTAAGTGCGGCGCACAACTGTCAATCGACGACTCAGGTGTTTTCATACGGTACAGAACTAGCATTAGGCCGCGCGATGCATGATATCCCAACGATGAAGTCATTTTCATTACGTGGGTCCCGGTGATGTGTCCCAATATTTTTGGAGATGAAAGATATGCCGTTTGCAAATCGGACATCAATTGCGGCGCTTGTTCGACTACTGGTCAGCAACGCACCAACTATTCGCAACGCAACTTAACAAAAATTATATAGAAATAAATAAATTTTAAATAATATTTATAGAAATTATTAAATTTTTATTCAAAATGTATATTTTAAAAATTAAAAAATCGAATTATATTTATTAAAAATTAACGAAAAGAGTAGGACAACCTCCAACAAACCAAATTTAGTTGATTGTTAAATGTTTTTCTTTTTCTTTTTCTTTTTTTTTTTCATTTTTGAACGGTACATCACTTTTAATGTTTGCAAGCCTTCCATGTGCTGGCTATTGGTTTCTTCGATGAAACTTGTGATGCAAATATTACTTTTGTGAAGGGTTAAGTGCGGCGCCGGCAAGACATCTGTCAATTGACGACTCAGGTTTTCATACGATAAATACAGAAGAAGCGTTGGCGCGCGCGGTGTATATATGACGTCACAACGATGAAGTCATTATTTTCATTCCGCCGGTACAGATCGATGATCCGCCCCGATTTTTGGGACATGCCCTTGCAAAGCGGACATAAATTGCGGCGCTTGTTTCGATTACTGGTTAACAACGCACCTACCATGCATTTTAGGTGCGTAGTTTAGTGATCATTTACTGTCTTAAAAGATAATTTGTAATTTACACTCATAAATTTTAAATTTAATATTTTTTACTAACACTTTTAACATGTTAACATCTAACCATTGCTTTTATTTAAAAAAAAAAAAACAACAACAACAACGCACCTACCATACACAATACTGCCTGATAGCAATTCTAAATTTTTTATTAAAAGAAATGTAAAAGTAACTCTTGCCCCAAGCACAAATTTTTTTCATCACTTCTATGGATTTGATTCATCTCTATTATTGGAATATAAGCCTTTTTATCAATAAATATGAAAAGTCCAGCTTTTCATTTTTTAAAAAATTTAAATTATATAATAAAAATAATTTTTTTTTATTTTTTAACTTATTCTATCTTTATATTATAAAACTAAAACTTTGGGTCGCTTTTTAAATAAAAAAGATTATATTAGATTATTTAAGGTATTACTAACAACTTGAATAATTTACAATTTTGAAACTGTGGAGCGTGGGCCTCTATATATTAACCAATTGATTTGTAACTTCGTTGATTTTTATTTTTTATTTTTTAAAAAGAGCCTAGCCTGTAGCTTTTGCAATGCATTTGAAAATGAAAATGGACTTGAGGGATGCAAAGAGTGTAAATGGGCCAGACCAATGTAATTTCCTTGGATAGTTGGATTTCCTTCAGGCTGCTGGGCTTTGTCCAATCCATCATGTGAAACGAATTGGGCGTTGTTCTGTCCATCATGTTACACCATTCGGCTCTATTTAGCCCACTAAGTGACACTACGTTGAATTTCCAACTTTACCCAATGCTTAGCGAAGTTCCTAGGCGGGAATCATGTGACCGTGCGAGCAACTTATTAATTGGACTAAAAATGTATATATATATATATATATACATATTTAATAAATTAACTGATAAATAAATAAAAAGT